CCTAAATTTTTTTTCACTTCCTTTTTTTCTTTTTTTTGGCACCAACCTCAAAGGGATGATGTGAGGATCATGAGATGATATGTAGAAATCACTATGTAAGTGTTAGCTATTGTTATGATTATGCTGACCACCTGCCCTAATCATGGAATCGATGCTAGGAGGACTTGTAGCAGCTGACCTGAGGCCAGAGGGCGGGAGAGGCAGGGCCTTCTTCTGGCAGAAGAGCAGCGGGCTTGGCCCCAGGGTGGCCAGCTACGACATCCACCTCCCCTCCTCCACAGTGCGAGGACCTGGTAGCCAAACTGAAGGAACTGCATGACCTGTACAGCTCCAGCCAGAAAGAACTGTCCCAGCTGCAGTTCGAGCAGGCCGAGCTCCTGGAGAACCAGAGGAGGATGCAGGAGGAGCAGGGCCGGCTGCAGGAGGAGCTGCACAGGCTCACCTTCCCTGTGCCTAAACCCAACCTGCTCCAAAAGGTACTGGTATATGGGGGGAGGGGGCGTGCGGGGGAGACAAGCCAGGAAAGACCAGAGGCGGCTCAGGGCTTTAGAAACTCCCTGGCTTTCGTTGTACCCGAAGAGGGAAATTTAAAGGGTGGCAGCTGGCTTTCTTACTTTCTTACTTGCCCCCCAAGTGGTTAATTAACCTTCCACCGAGTGGTTAATAAGAGCAGGGTTTGAGCTGCTTAGTGGACTGAATGCCAAATAGAGCCTTTCTTAACTCAGCCCCTGATTGGTGCCCCTTGCTGTAGTGAGAGCTCTCCATGATCCATCTTGGGTAGCAGGTCACCAGGTAGATCGCCCTCCCATGGGCCAGGCCAGTCAGTGATGGCACCGCAGAGGGATCAGGCAAAGGAGTGGGTGAAGACACCCACCAGTGACCACCCTTCTACCTCACCCCACAGAGTCAGGAGTTGTTGGAAAAGCTGAACGATCTGGAAGAAATGCAGACCTGCTACCAGAACCGGCAGGAAGAGCAGAGAAAGCTGGTGGAGAGTCAGGACCAGCTCTTAAAGGAGCAAGCCCAGGTGCAAGAAGAGTTTCGACTTTTAAGGGAGAGACAGATGGTGAATCCAAGTCCGGACTGTGAAAAGGTGTTGCCTAGAGATAACAGCATCAAGGTAACAGCAGCCAGGGCCACTTCTGGGCAGGGCCACTGGAGTGGTTCCTAAGGAGAGGCATGAGGCTAATGCCAGTGGCAGGAAGACAGCACTGCACCAAACCCACCATCCAACCATTCATATGCTGCTCCTGGGGCTTGGCGAGGGCCCACTGAAGGTTGTGCTCTCCTGGGACAGCCAGCTCAGCACCAAATGGGCACCCAGAACAGCACCTGAAAGATGGTTGGCTGTGGGCTGATTCTGATGCTGCCAGCCTCTCCCTGCCACCTAATTCTTCTTACCTTCATTTCCTTATTTGTAAAACAAGTCATTTCAGTCACGTCTGACCCTTCAGGACCCCACTTGGGATTTTCTTGGCAAAGATGCTGGAGTAGTTTGCCATTTCCTTCTCCAGCTTGTTTTACAGATGAGGAAACTGAGGCAAACAGGTTAAGTGACTTGCCCAGGGTCACACAGCTAGTAAGTGTCTAAGGCCAGATTTGAACTCAGGAAGAGGAGTTCTTCCTGACTCTAGGCCTGGCACTGTGCACGATGGCACCACCTAGCTGTCCCAAGGTTAAATCACATGATCTCCACATATCCTTTTAGTTTTGACTCTACAATTCTATGATTTTAGCATTCAAAATCTGATAGTTGCCACTTGAGTTCTTTTTGGCCAAAGATAATAGAGTCCCCTATTTTTTAGTAGCTGACAGTCCAGTTTTTGGTATATTCCATTTCTTAAAAAATCCATAGCATTTTGGTGACCACACCAGACTGTTCATTAACAAACCATGGAATCGTCCCTCTTGAGGGAAAACATCCTAGTGGGTTGAGTTCTTAGAACGCATTATACTATCAGTGCTGGAATTTGGATGGGATCAGAGCAGCATTGGATAGGCCAGGGGAGCTAACGCTAGGTGTCTAGAGAGACCAAAGGGTTATGCTGGGTCTTGAGAGGGGTCAGCAAGAGATCATGAGCAAGAAGTCAGCTAGTATAGAAACAGGCATGTGAATACTGGAGGTTCAGGTGAGGAAGCCAGGTTTTGGGGCCTGGCATAGTTGGGGAGGATCATCATGTTGGTCATTTCTAAGAAAAGAGGCCGGGTTCGAAGGGCTCACATACTGGCACAGGTAAGTAGAAGCAATGGTCTAAGCAGGCAGGTTGGAGAAGAGTCAAGGAGATCCTGCGGAAGATGCCAGAAACTCAGGCTAGGAGCCTAGATACAGGGAGGGCAGCAGTCTGGTGAACAGAGCAGAACCCAGACTTAGCAAAGCTAAGTGATAGAACCCAGAAGCCAAGTCCTGAGAAACAGTCCAGGAATCCCAGGGCAAAAATTAGGTGAGCAGTCAGGGCTCTAGATCCACACCCTGGGCAGCCCTTCAGACCCTATCAGCGGGGAATGACCTTGACCCCGAGCCAGTGTCTTCTGAGGCATTGGCTTCTTGTGGGCTGCTTACCATGAGGCCAAAGTGAGTCACAAGGCGTGAAGGTAGGTGGGTGGTGTCCTGGGCAGAGCCCCAGCAGAGAGGCAAGGCAGGCAGGGCGGTGCCTTTTACCAGAAAGAGGGGACAAGCAGAGCTGCAGGTTTCACTCCGCTGGTGGAGATGAAGGAATTCTCATTTTCTAGGAATGTTCCCTGTAGAGCCAGGCCCTCCTTTGATTCCAAGATGCATGCTCCAGCACAGCTGAAGCGTGGCCCTGCCCCTGTGTGAAGCGTCCTTTGGGGGCCCCGTCCTGCCTCGGGGCCGCCATTTCCTAAGGAAATCGCACCATCTGCCTCCCCCACTGCAGTCCAGTGAGCTGTGCAGCAAGATCCAGGAGCTGCAGGAGCTGTACCAGACCAGCAACCTGGAGCAGGAGCAGCTGCAGCAGGAGCAGGGGAGGCTGCTGGAGGAACACAAGAGGCTGCAGGAGGACCTGCAGCTCTGCCAGGAGGAGATGCAGCTGCTGCATTCTCTGACCCCGCAGCTGAGCTTTGACAGCAGCAGGAGCTATCACAGGAGCTACGGTAGCAGCAGCGGCGGCAGCAGCAGCAGCGTCAGCCTCAGCAGCTGTGGCGGCCAAGAGGAGGATTATTGCAATGACAACGAGAACACGGAGGTAGTGGCTGGGCAGGGAGATGGGATGCTCGGGGTCCCCAGGGAGGGCAGGAGAGGGGCCCAGCCACCACCTCTCCCCTCCCTCCTGCCCCCGAGCCTGGCTGGGAGCTGGGGCCCACCCCCACACAACCATGCTGCCCCGGACAGTGACAACAGCTGTCTCTGCCGGGCATCTGCCCCTCACAGAGAAGGAGGAGGCTAGCCCAGAGTCTCATTGCATCCCCTCTCCTCCAATAGATCCAGGAGGTGGTCGCCTGTGTGCTGACCAGGCTGCAGGCTGTCAAGGCCATGTATGTGATCAGCCAGGATGAGCATGGCCAACTGCAGTTAGATATGATGCAGTTACTGGTGAAGATGGGCCATCTTCAGGAGGAGCTCCAAGTCTGCCAGGAGGAGCTCAGGGACTGTGAGGGGAGCAAGACAGTGGAAGAAGCCCCACCTGTTGTACCCCAGAGCAGCCCTGAGGTACCTGCAGCCAGGGAGGCAGCCGGGGGAGACTGCCTGGGAGGAGATGGGCCTGTGTCTAGCTGGGCATCAGCTGGCCTGCTCTTGGTTATCCCTCTCCATTTAGAGCAGTCGATCACAATCTGGTCAGGTGCCCACGAGAGAAGGATTTGAGGTTTGCAAACAAATGAGTGCCAGCTGATTGACATCAGTCCCTGTAAAGGTCAATTGAGGGAGGGAGGAATCCTGGGGAAGACAAACCAGAGGTGGAGGGGCCCACAGTGGAACAAGGGGGGGCACCACTTGTCTTTGATAAAGTCTCTCTGCTTCCTTCCTCTACTTATCTCCCCGTGCTGCATCTCATGGGAACTTTGGAAGTCAGGCTTAGTAAATTCATGGCCTCCTTCCTGGCTAAGCCCAGCCCTTTTCCCCAGAGAAGGGCGATGAAAATTGCCCTGCCAGTGTGTTTGCTCCAGGAGAGCTGCAGACCCGCACGCTGACCCTAGCAGCTCAGTCCCAAGTGGTCAAGGCCTCACAGCTGAATTGACTACACAGTCCCGTTGGGTCTCCAGAGTCAGAAGTAGATATTGAAATTGCTCCTCAGGAGACTTAAAATAAAAAAAAAAAAAATACGCTACAAGACTTCCAGGTGGTACAGTGGTTAGAGAATTGGACGGGGAGTCAGAAAGAAGACCTGAGTTCAAATCCTGCCTCAGACAATGAGCTGTGTGATCCTGGGCAAATCACTTAACTGCTCTCGGCCTTTGTTTCCCCACCAATGAAATAGGGATGATAATAATAGTGCCTACTTCACAGGGTTTTTGTGAGGCCCAAATGAGAGAACACATAAAGTGCTTTGCAGACCTCTAAGTGCCACGTCAGGGCTAGCTGTTTTCTTGTTATTGCGGTCGTGTCAGACTCTTCACGACCTCATTTGGGATCTTCTTGGCAGGGATCCTGGACTGGTTTGCCATTTCCTTCTCCAACTCATTTTACAGATGAGGAAACTGAGGCACACAGGGTGAAGTGACTCACCCAGGGTCACACAGCTAGGAAGTGTCTGAGGCCAGGTTTGAGCTGAGGTCTTCCTGACTCCAGGTCCCATGCTCTATCCACTGTACCGCCTAGCTGCCCCTAGCTATTATCACGTAATTAAAAACAGTATTTTTAAAAAATTACTCACTGAGTCTAAATCATTGACTGCCTCGAGTCAATAGCTATTTGAAGGTCAATTGAGAGACTTATTTTCTGTTCCTTCTAACATTTTCTCTCTTGTATGCCCCTCCTTGAGACACACATAGAGGGGCAGTATGGTGTGGGCTCTCTAGCAGCGGTGTCAGGGGAGGGGCCGAGCCAAGAGGCCGAGTTCCTTTTGTCTGACTGACCGCCCCCCCCCCCCCCCCCCCCC